GTAAGGGGAGAGAACCCCTCCATTTTATCTAACATCCGTGCTACTGCCTTCGGTATAGAGGGCTACCTGATCGTGCAAGGTATATATGTTTAGACTGGATTTTTCTATTCCACCTCCTATAATGGATCTGCTGGTTCTGTACCACTGTATCCCACGCGAGAAATAATCACTGAGATATTACTGGGGGAGTTTCCGCACCTTATTTATACGCTCCCCTGAGACTTGATGGGACAGTGTAGGGGCTGTTTGAACTTACCATCTTGGGTTCAGCTACCAGGATCGACCCATTTTGTTGGTGATCCTATTCCTCTCTATTTGATGTATTCCTGGAGACGGTACAGCTAACAGAGGTGCCTCAGTTATTACAAGAGTGCAGGTTTTAGTATGATCTACGCTATATCAAACAATCGCACTATGTTTAGGTTATACAGACCATTGTGTACTAGCTGTTCAGACTGTTTTTACCCATGTCAAGGTGACAGGAGATCCTGAGGCCTTCGTAGAGCAAACGTGCACTGCCTTACCCGCGTGACAAGACTGGGGAAGGCCCACAACCTGGGCTGCAGGTACACCGTATGCATAGATTGCATGGGAAGAACGGAATCTTTGGGTTCCCTGGTTGTTAACAATCTTGGGATAGATGTCAGGATTACCTCTGCTCCTCTGAGAACATGATTCGGTTATTATGTCATGTTTAATCACCTTAGTCTTTCCTGGAACTATCGAGAAAACATCCCTATTTCTTCTGATGAAGTCTCTGACCTCTTGCTTTTGATGTACAGACAGAGTCTCAGATACGTTCACCTCTGGCTCTACTATAGGAGGTTCTGAAGTTTTTAAAGCAACCAGGACCTCCCTGTCCTTCCATGGCTTTAACAGATTTATATGATACAACTGTTCAGGCTTTCTTCTTCCTGGTTGTCTGACTTTATAATTGACATCACTCACTTTCTCTATTATTTCATCGGGTCCATGCCAAGTCGCAAGGAACTTATTCTCCACAGTAGGGACCAGAACCAATACCCTGTCTCCAGGTTGGAACACTCTGACTCTAGCATTACGGTTATAGCTGTTTTTCTGAGCCTGCTGGGCTTCCAGCATGTGTTCCCTGACAATGGGCATGATGGTGGCCATTTTATCCTGCATTTGAGCTATATGCTCAATTACACTCCTGTGAGGAGTAGTCTCCTGTTCCCAGGTTTCCTTAGCAATATCCAATATTCCCCTGGGATGTCTTCCATATAACAATTCAAAAGGAGAGAAGCCCGTGGAGGCCTGTGGAACTTCCCTAATGGAAAACAGTAGATATGGCAATAAAAAAAATCCCAATTTCTTCCATCAGCATCAATTACCTTGCGTAGCATACTCTTAAGGGTTTTGTTGAACCTCTCTACTAAACCATCAGTCTGTGGGTGATATACTGAGGTCTTAAGATGTTTAACCTGCAAGAGCCTGCACAACTCTTTTGTGACTTTGGACATGAACGGGGTCCCCTGGTCTGTCAGGATTTCTTTAGGGATACCCACCCTACTGAACATTAACATAAGTTCCTTAGCTATTAACTTTGCAGAGGTATTACGCAAGGGAATGGCCTCAGGGTAGCGAGTTGCATAGTCCAAGATGACTAATATATATTGGTGTCCCCTAGCAGACTTTACCAGTGGCCCCACTAAGTCCATAGCGATCCTTTCAAAAGGCACATCAATTATGGGTAAGGGTACAAGTGGACTACGAAAAGTCTTGAACAGAGCTCTGTACTGGCACTCAGGACATGAGGAGCACTAGTTTGTAAAAATTAGGTCATTTTGTACTTCAAAATAGGGGAACGGTAGTGCTTCTCCTGGCTGATTAGCAACCCCATTTACAACTTTAATATCATTTCTAGCTGTCACTAAAGTGGGATCTTCCCACTGAGCACTTTTAAAATTACCTGGACTGATTCCAATATCAATTAAGTCCTTATCCTTGTCTGCAGTATTAGTAGGCTCTTCACTAGTTTGAGCTGGGTTATCTCCTATTAATACTGGTTTAGGGCAGTATTTTCTCCTTTTTCCGTCACAGTGGTCAAAACCCAAGTCAATATCGGAAAAAGGAAACACATTATCCTCGGCCGATTGACTAATTTCTGATAAAGTTTGGTCCCTCTTTTGTACAGCTGCCCATAATTCTAGAAAGTGAGGAAAGTCTCTACCGATCACTACCTCATGGGCTAATCTAGGTACTACACCCACTCGGTACTTTAAATCCCCATACTGAGTTCCAATATTTACTTCCGCAGTGGGGTATTCCTTTTTATCACCATGAACACAGATAATGCCTATTTTCTGTACATGATCAGGTTTTACACAAGGTATTATAGACTCTGCTACCAACGTAACCATACTACCTGAATCAAGTAATGCTTTAGACATTTTTCCATTCACAGTTACACAGCATTTATGAGCGTTATTATCATAGTCATTGTTAACAGTACCATAACAACTGAGCAAAAATGAACGTGTTCCCTCATCTTTGCCCATATTGCATTCCATAGGTTCATCCTTAAATGGACAGTCTTTGGCCATATGACCATCCTCTTTGCACTTGAAACATTTGACAGTACAATCTGACCACCAATTAGTTCCTTTCCCAGGCCTATTAGACCTGGATGCCCCCCTGGTGTTTTGTGTATAGAGCTGCAGTTCTTCAGCTCCCCTTAAACCTTGAACAGTCTTACCAGGTCTTGCAGAATCTTGGGGCTTAGGATTGCGAGGGTTTGCCTGTGAAGTAGGACATAGCAGTTCTCCTGCAGCCACATATCTTTCCACCAAGGCAATCAGTTGGTCAGCTGTATGGGGGTCACTTTGGCTGACCCAGCGACGCAGGGAAGCTGGTAAACCACGCAAAAACCGGTCCATTACTAAGGTTTCCACAATGTGGCTAGCTGAATGGATTTCAGGTTGTAACCATTTCCGTGCAAGGTGTATGAGGTCAAACATTTGGGAACGTGCGGCTTTGTCTGAAGAATATGACCATGAGTGGAACCTTTGGGCACGTACTGCAGAGGTTACACCCAGTCGTGCCAAGATTTCAGCTTTCAATTTGCTGTAGATACTTGCATCGGCTGGTTCTAGGTCATAATATGCCTTCTGCGGCTCTCCACTTAGGAACGGTGCCAGTATGCTTGCCCACTCACCAGTCGGCCATCCCTCCCTCTCAGCAGTGCGCTCAAATGCCAGAAGGTACGCCTCAACATCATCTGATGCGGTCATTTTCTGAAGATAGTGGCTCGCCCGAATCACCTTTGGCCCCTGGTATCTTCCATCAGGGTCTCCATTCAGTTTTTCAGAGATAGCTTGGATTTCCTGTTGTAGTCCCTGGGTGACTTTTTGCTGCTCCTCACGGGCTACTTTAAACATCTCCGCTTGTGTCACAACAAGCTGTTTCACCAAGGACTCAGTGCACTCCATTTGTGTTTTGGCCAGGACTTTAGCACACTCTGCCTGGGCCAGCACCAGTTGCTGCAGGGCTGCACTGTTTTCTGCAGCTCTCCTGTTAGTCTCCTGTTGCACAGAGGTGGATTGGATCAGAGCCTTGATAACATCCTCCATGTTGAGCTTTAAATGACTTCTACCCTCAGGCTTACGTGGCTGCCCGCATTCTCCACCATATGTAACAAACCACCTTTTTTACAGGTAGGATTGTCACCGATCTTGCAGTAACCACAGCCTTCTAGAGTATACAAAGTCCAGGACACCTTCAGCTCAGTTTTCCTTTTTATTCAGTAAGAAAGCAGGTACTTTAAATAATAACAAAAACAAACAAAATCCCTTGCTCTTACTTGAGCTCTTACTAGACAGTATTTGCTATCTGCAATTGGGTGGCTTTCCCACTTACCAATTTTCCAAACAAAAGCAATGTCTTTGCAATAAACACAATCTCTCCTAGCTGTCTTTTTCTCCCTCACTCTGCAGCAGGCTGCTCTCTTCTTTTAAAGGCCTGTCTACTAATTGAGTAGCTACAGGTGAGTGCCAATTAGTTAACTCTTAAAATCAGATCCAAGCTGTGGTCTGTTATACAGCAACTAGTGCTGTTGGAGCATTGGCCCACCCTGCTCTCCAAATACTCCGCCCCAGGGACCCATACCATGTTTTGCAGAGCATCAGCTATGCATATTGCAAACTTTAACATCTCTCCCTGGGGCATTTAACTGAAAAATCCTCTGGTTGCTGTTTAGCAAATCAGGTCTGATGTATCTCCCATCAACCACTATTCCACCTTTACGCTCACAATATATATATATATATATATATATATATATATATATATATATATATATATATATATATATATATATATATATATATATATATATATATATATGTACTATCAGAAGTCTTTTTTCCAATATTTCTTATATTCAGCCTAGGATGATTTACCTTGACACTGCCAAGCGTTTTTAATTATTTACTCCCTGGCTGATAGTGTTGACTGTGCACCATCAAGCAGATTTAGGTGTGGCTGAAATATAGACCAAATTAATTTCCATTTATAGCCTGTAGTGCAAAATCTGGACATTGTTGAATAGTGTGAACAATTTCCTAATTTGCAGTTCAAATGGTCCCATATGCAGCCGAATGGTTTTGCCCAGTTCAGTACGGAGCCATT